AAAAGATTTCTAAAGGCACCATTTCTCTCTTTGTACAAGTAAATAATAATTTTAACATTAATTACAGTCAGAAAAATAAGAAATTCTTTCATAACCTTTGGCTGTTTTCATCATATTAATACTAAAGTTCTCTTCTGTATGGCAATGATCATCTCTGTTTGTGTGTTCCAGTACTGTGTTCAGACGAAGTAAAGTGGCTGGCTCAGACAGACTCTTTCAGGTGGACACAACTGGGATCCTTCTTGGCCATATCCTCTTTTTCAGGTAATCTTTTGTCTTTTTTCCATACAAAACCTCTGTAATAAGTGAAAGAGTCAAAAAAACAACATTATGGTTATCCATTTACACATGACACTTCGCTCATGTCACTTACACTTTAACTTTTGACGCAACATTCTCTTGCAACATCAGTTGCAATCATGTCTTGTGGATCAGATACAACTAGCACAAAACTCACCTGTCATCCACATCCTGGATAGTATCGGGCAAAGGTTGTGCAAGGGTTTCTGGGAGAAAGAAGGCGAAGATCCCACTGACGATTGGAGCCCCTCCGTAGATAAAACCAGGTAGCCATGGGGAATCCTCCCCAAGAAGAAGCACCATGGGGGCCACCATCGCTCCAAACCGAGCCATCATGGACACCCATCCCATTCCGTTTTGACTGAGAGGACACAGAAGAAAATTGCGTAAGCTGGCATCACTTGCTCTGAAAATTAGTATGGGATTCTGCAGATCTTGTTATTGCTTGTCAAAAAGAAACAAAATGATGGACAATGCAGGACCGTAACCATAGATATTGAGGGGGAGGATACTTCGGGGTTGAGTGAAGCGCAGCTTAATTTTCAATTTTGACTGAACTAACCCTTTAAATACAAAATAATTTAATTTGCCTGCGAGATTATGTAATCAACCATTGTGCCAAGTGTTAACAAGCTGCAACAAGCATGACAGAGTAACATGAAATTGTTTTACAAAATAATGGATATTTATTAATACTATGGATGCATTTTACAGAAGACTACACATGAAAGATTTAATAAATAGTAAAATAACAAACACAAATCCCAATCTTTTACAATTTGTGTTCTGTTGCTTTATTTCTTTGCATCATTCATGTAATAAAACAAGCCCCCCAAAAAAATCACACATATATATATATATATATATATATATATATATATATATATATATCATCGCTCCAAACCGAGCCATCATGGACACCCATCCCATTCCGTTTTGACTGAGAGGACACAGAAGAAAATTGCGTAAGCTGGCATCACTTGCTCTGAAAATTAGTATGGGATTCTGCAGATCTTGTTATTGCTTGTCAAAAAGAAACAAAATGATGGACAATGCAGGACCGTAACCATAGATATTGAGGGGGACATGTCACTCCCACTAATTAAAAATGGACAAATGATCTCTCCCAATATTTGATATTCTTGATAATGCTTTGTTTGTTGTTAGGATGACAAAAGGTTTATAAAGTTACATTATTGGGCTGATCTGCCTCAGCGGTCTAAAAGTGCTTGTCAATTACAAAATGACTAAGACTAATCAAATCAAAGAAGGCAGGCAGGATTTACTGTTCTTTAAGTTTATAAAGTTGAAAGAGTGTGAGGTAAGATGTAAGTAGCTAAACATTTGATATTTGACAACCATTTTACAATAGAAATGTTAAATAACCAACAAATAACCAATATCCAAACCAAATATTATATATAACCAAAATATTAAATAAAGGATTTAAATGGATTTAAGGGAGTAAGTAATCAATTTGAACTATTTGCAAAGAATTTTGCAATGTTTTTATTTCAAATATGCACACAATCACTCTTACTCTTATAAAAAATATTGCAGTAGTTCAAATTGATTACTTGACAAAAAAATTCTTGTTTTTTTCTTTTTCTTTATCCTCTTAAATCTATTTAAATTCTTTAATTCTTTAATTTCTTTAAATAATAAGACTATTACTACCCCCACCCCCAATGTCCAAGACATGGTTTCGGCCTTGTGGACAAGTGAAATTAAACTGAATCGTAGGGAATTTTTGTTGTTGTTGTTTTAGGATGACACTAGTTAATTACCGGATGACTGTGGGATACAGCTCTCCAGAATACAGGTAACAGCAGTTGAAGGATGCAGCCAGACAGCCCTTCCCTATGACTGCCAGACTGGTGCGTAACACTTGCAGGTCTGCACATGTACAAAAACAAGAGTCACGTATACATAGGTACACGATCAGCCAAATGCCAGGGTCTCGATTTCTGTGATATTGAAGGACAGACAAACCTCCAGATCTCACTGGAATAACAGCTATTGTAAACGAATGACCCCACGTGACAATGAGACTGCAGTTTTATTATTACTGTGCTCTACTGCCAACCAGGCTCAAATTCTCACCATAAGGCACCAGAAGATTAATGAGTATCATTACGCCAGCCAGTACAAGAGCTCCGCACTGAGATGGTCTTCGTCCTAACATGCTCATGGATATCGTAACCAAGATTTTGGCTGGTATATCCACCGCTCCAAAGATGATCTGGATAAGATAAATGCTGACCCCAAATTTCTGCAGATCCATGGAGAGGCCGTAGTAGGCGAAGCTCGTTGAAAACCTGAGATGTTACAGTTCAAAGGTCACAACTGTGGTCGTTTTCGAATGCTGGTTGGTACTGAATGGAATGGTAGGATTGAGTGACTGACCAGACTGCACTGAGGCACACGGTGATGGTTCTCATTGTGGATGTGCGCAGGAGGTCTAGAGCGCTGTAAGACCCCTTTGAACAGGCCATCTCCTTCTTCATGGACTCTTGCAACATCTGCATGCACAATCTCAACAGAATAAACATTCTGAAAGACCCGGACGATGCTGAAATTGATATGTCATGCATAGCGTCAGTAACACTTTAGTTTAGGGACCAATTCTCACTATTAACTAGTTGCTTATTAGCATGCATATTACTAGCATATTGGCTGTTTATTAGTACTTATAAAGCACATATTCTGCTTGACCATATTCTACATCCCTTAACCATACCCAATGCCTAAACGTAACAACTACCTTACTAACTATTAATAAGCAGTAATAAGGAGTTTAAGGCAAAAGTCGAAGTTAATAGTTAGTTAAAAGAGAGAATTGGACCTTAAAATAAAGTGTGACCATAACATCATACCTCAAGGTTGATTTTGTCGGCTTCTGCATGTCGTCCATTTATGCGAGCCACCGTTTTAAGGTTTTTTACCGCCTGCTCTGATTTTTTAGTCAGGACCAGCCAACGAGCAGACTCTAAGAACCACCTGCAGATGATAATAACATGACTATCATCCACAACATCAGATCTCATATCACTACATATGTGCCAAATATACATTGAGGCGTAATGTGTTGAGGATTGCTTTGTGCAAATTGTCATTTGGCCTCACTAGCTGAGTGAACTTATCTGTAATTATTTACAGTAATAATTATTTAAATAATTATTTAAATAACGAATAATCTTTGTTAATAATATAATTAGAATCATATATAAAGTATTTTTATTGCTTAAATAACATTTAATAAAATAAATGTTACTTAATTATTATTCATATTTGTTACTTAATATTATTGACTTATTAAACAATTAACCACTAATATACACTTTGCCGATCAAATGTTTGGAGTCTTTTATAAATCTTTATAAGAATTTTGATAAAGAAATCTTATAAATCTTTTATAAGAAATTAATACTTTATTCAGAAAGGACACTTCAATTTGATCAAAAGTGTCAGTAAAGACTTTCATAAATAATTTATATTTAAAAAAAGGATTCTGAAATAAATGTATCACCGTTTCCATGAAAATATTAAGCAGCACAATCCTTTTCAACATTGATAATAAAAAATATTGTTCTTGAGCACAAAATAAGCATATTCGAACAATTTCTGAAGTATTGTGACACTGAAGACTGGAGTAATGAAGCTGAGAATTCAGCTTTGCCATTACAGGATTTTTATTAAAACATTTTTTTTTTAATATATTGAAATTAAGAAAGTTATTTTGAATTATAATATTTCACAATATTACTGTTTTGCTATATCAAAGACATTAAAAAGAACATTAAATCTTACTGACCCAAACCTTTGAATGGTATGGTGTATGTTATGTAGCTAAACCCAAAACAAGTGGCAAATAGCCTATATAGCTGCAAGCAGCGATTACTGGGATTCAAGCACTTTAAGACATTTAAGCACATAAGGAAGAAGACATTGTATTATTTAACAAGCCTGAAACCAGCTAAATTAATGATTTAAAAGAGCATGTTTGGCGATTCCAGGTAATTTACCTTGTAATTTACCTAGTACGATATTTATAAACATTTATGGCTGTTATAGCACCACCTATAGTCCGATCTCCATGAAACTTTGCATGCTTGTTTAGAATCATGTGTCGCATATGATCACCTAGTTAAAGTTTTCGTTTAGGATTTGTAGGCTTTTGGGTATATTTGGCCACACCCATTTTCTAAATGACCCTGTTATAGTTATCGAAAGGGGAAAGGTCAACATTTTTTGACAATTATTGACCTAGAGAGTCCAGAGAATTGTACTGCAGTGGTTTTTTCCAGATTGAGTGAAAAACCTAGGACTAATTTGCAAAAGTAGTTTTTTTACATAGGCTATTCTCAATTATTTAAAGGGGTCATATGATGCGATTTAAATTTTTCCTTTCTCTTTGGAGTGTTACATGACCCCTTTAACAAACAATTTGATTGACAGTAGTGGTTCTAGGCAAAGTTGTTCAAAATGAGGAGGTCTATCATATGAAAAGCCGTGCAATATACAATCGTTTATGCCCTTGTAAAATGTGATATCGCCTCCCAGTGGCTGATTTCTTTCAAACTTCTCACAGACCTTTAGGGCCATGAGTCAAACAGGCCGGCCCACTGAGGTTCGTTCTGATCGACCTCCGTTAACCTTACCTAATAGGTGCTCAAACTTCATTGGCGAATGGTGGCCATGTTTTTTGAGATACACAAATGTTCTTACAGACACTTGTGGCACTTTGGACAAAGACTTGGCATACCAATTTTCATATTGATTGGACAAATGGTTTCGTAGTTATAGCCATTTTTATGTTTTTTTCCCTCTTATAGTTACCACCAAGTGGCCAAGCTCCACAATTTTTTTTTCATGTGAGCTCAGGTTGAGCTCTTACATAAGTATTCTGAGTTTGGCGAAGATATCTCATTCCGTTCAATAGTTATAGCCGTTTTAGTAAAATTGTCCCAGCCCCTTCCAAACGTTTTGGCGTCCCTTTGCGACAGTGAGTTGAAAATGTAACTTTTTTTTGATAATTATTGATATTCACTCTCCAGAGAATGTTTCTGCATTGGTTCTGATCGGGCGAAAAACCTAGGACTAGTTCGCAAAAGTAGGTTTTCCAAAAATACAAAATACCCGAAAATTTCGCCCAGGTGATAATTGAATTCGAGGCATTCATTTTGTCCCGTGTGAGCTAATGGTACATTCACACAGGGTGTCGGTGTCAACGCCTCTCGTTTACTTTGAATGGAGTGAC